TTTTTGTTTTATGAATTAGAGACAAAAAATGATTGCCTAGGCATCAGATATGTTACAAGCTCACATCTGTAAGTCTTTCTTGGGGATTTTTGTATTTTTTAAACAGGAATGTTTCCTGTCTGAAATACTTCAGTGTTCACTCTATATCTGAGCTTTAAAATTATCTAATCCTTTTTAATTTTTAATCTTCAATTACTTTTTCTTCACACATAGGATAAGCATTGCTTTCAATATGATGTTTTTATTTCATTTTTTTTTTTACTTCAGTGATCTTGAAAACATGTTATAAACATGCAAACATAAAGGTTTAAAATTCAGGGTATGTTTACAAGTATCAACAGAAGTTATAAATTATATCAGGAACATATATAAATTTAATTCTGAAGAGCAAGTATCACAGGCAGGTCATTATAAGAGATCCCATGTGAAATGTAAAAACTACCTTGAATAAATTACCCATAAGTTAACATTTTCATTAGAACCACATATTTATTATTTCTGGGTCTGTGACATTTCTTTAATGCACTTTGACTAACTGTTCTAGCATCACATTAAGAAACCATTTCAGCAATTTTTCCTCTATTGAAATTAACAGATCTTATTTACATTTGAACTAAAATGATTTAAAATAATATAACATTAAAACAAAACCCACTTCCTAATGTAGATACCATTTTCTTCTGCCCAGAAACATTTAATTTGAAACGTTCAATTTAAACCAGGATATAATTTTAGTAACTATTTTTGCACAGAGTAACCCAAAATTATTAGTCAAATTGTAAGACTGTTTAAAAATTGGGAGACTGACAATCAAAACAATCCTAAATGCTTTGTTTATGTGATGAAAAGGAGTGATCCTTTAATTCCCTCACATAAGTTAAACTGATTTCACAGACTTTCTATACTGTTGTTCAACATAGTCAAGTGTTTGAGGTTACATAAAATAAACAATCTCGAGATCTTATTGCAAATGTTTGCAATTTATGAAGTAAACTGATTTGTGAAAAAAAATAACAGGATCCCATGTCACTGAAGCCAAAAAGGCATTTTTCAGAAATCAAAATAGTTCCGAAATCTGAGCATTGTATTATAGTAAAGTATTACCATCTGAGGATCTAAAAGTTATAAATCTAGAGAAAAACTCAAAATAGACATTTATCAGTTCAGCCACGAGCAAAGCCCTCTGAGTTCACTGGGTCTCTTGTATCATAGGGTCCTTAACACTAATGATATCTCGAATGTCTTTTAAGTTGGTTTTCCCCAATCAGGAAAGGCTTTGCACATCCTGAAAAATTGAGGGGAAGGCGAATTTTTTTTATTACTTATTACGGTTATTAAGTTTCAACCCAAAAGACCTGATGTTGGGCCTTATTTGAATTTAACGTGGAGAAATCCTCCGAACCCATCTCCAGGATGGCTCTGCAAAGCTGTTGGAGAGGTTCGCACACCACGGCGCCTCCCCGGAGCTGGGGCCGTGGCGCTCGGGGCGAGAGTGCCCTGCGCGAGCGTCCGCAGGAGCTTGCACCCCGGCCCGGCCCAGTCCGGAAAGGCACCGCTGCCGGAGCTGGGTCCCCGGAGAGCGCGCGCGGGGGTAGCTAGGCGGCGGCGGGCATCTCTGACCCGCCCCGCAAAGCCAGCTGGCTCAGGACCGCCCTGTGGGTCCGGGAAGCTGGTCTTTCCCCGGGACCTCCGACTCCGCGCACCCCCGCCCCGGGGCCTGATCCCGCAGGGCCCAAGGTCCGGCCCACGGCTCCTGAGGCTGGAGCCTGTCAGCAGCTGCTAGCCCGCTTCAGGGCCGGGACGCGCGGCCTCCTCGCACCCCAATACCCGCGCTCGGCCGCGGGAACCGCGGGGCTCCACGGAGGCCGCCCCCACGGCTGTGCCCGGACGGATCTGCCAATTCCCGATCCCGAGTCCTCCCGTGACCTCCGAGCTCCCTCGGGGCGCCTCGGCAACGTCTCCACCCGCGTCCGAGGTTGGACCCCGCGTGGTTAAGAGCTTGCCGCTGCCGACACGACCTGCCCGCTCGCGGGGGCGCGCCTGAGAACCCCTCCGAGGCCACTCCAAAGCGCCCTGGCCCACGCAAATGTGTGTGAAAACTAGGGACTCCCATCGGGCGAAAGACCCGAGAGAGTCGGGCGCTGACCACCGCCCGCTTGCTGTGCTGCGGTCTCTGGAAGCTAAAACATAGATGAAGACGCGTCAGCCACGTCTGCGCTGGGGAATAGCGCGGAGTGCGAGATCATCTGGGTAGATTCGGGTGGGGACGGCGGGGGGATGCGGAGCTTCGCTTCTGCACGTTCTCCTACCCAAAGGGAACCCCAGGGGACACTCGGGACACCTGGTTCGTCGAGGAGGTGCCCCCTCCCAAAAGCCCGCGCTGGAAAGGAAGGTCCTGCCCGGGGTCTGTTCGGGGCCGCGCTCTCCAGGTCGTCACCTAAACCCAGCAGCACCTTCGGGGAGAAGGGGATAAAAGCGTGGAGAGGGCGGAGCTCCCCGGTATTCTGAGCACCCTCAGATCCGGCTTTTCCTAAACACGGCCCGACTTCTGCCTTTTCCTAAATTTAACCAACGAAGAAGCTGCTTCCTGCAAAGAGCTAAACAGGAGGCGCAAGTGGGGGTTGGGGGTCGCCCTTCCTGGAGCCCCTGCCTCTTTCCACGGCTCTAAGGTTACTCCCTGACTACCTCGCTTCCCCGGCTCGGGAGAGGCTTCGTGAGTTAAGACCCACAGTCTATTAAACAGCTAACCCAAGTGGTTCTCACCGCGTGATCCCGCTTTTCTTTCTCCCCAAAATATCCCCAAATAAATTTTAAGTGTGAAAGTGTAGGAAAATAAATAGGGTCTGTATTGAGGAAGAGTGTTATCCTAGTCTGTTACTTCACATATCGTCTGTTCCTTTATTGATTGGGTGTAAAATCAATCCGCCTTCTATACTGGGTAGATAAAAGTAGGGGTGAGGGCCGTGTTCAGCGCTGTGGAGATCCACAGTGCCCCTGGATTGCTGCACGTAGAACAGAGGCAAGCGATTTTCCAAGTTGGTATATTCGAGAAAGATACACATTCATCAAAAAGCAAAAAGGAAAGACTATCCCGGATGGTTTAATGGTAACAGGAACAAAGATGACGCGAACCCCATCAAATGAAACAATACTATTTTCATTCAATTGATCGCAAAGTGTCTTCAATTAATAACTTGGCACTTATTTAAAAGGTTTAACAGAGGTGAAACCGAAACATTTTGTACCGACAACACGTCATGAAATAACAGCATCTTTTGTTTAAAATAACTTAATACACTAGAAAAAATATGGCAAATATAAATAATTTTGTTTTCATGGAGAACAAATAGTTACAAAGCTCAACCGCATACCAGAGTTCAGTTAAAAGAGCTTTTCCTCTTCCTTGTAAATTAGAAGGAAAAAAAACAAAACTAAGGAGGCTTTCTAGAGAATCAGGGAACAGATTTCTTAGTCCAGGGCACATTAAATAACTACATGAATTGAAACAAGAAAAAAATTACTTGAATATACACCTTTGTGAGATTAAAATGCAAATGTTGAAAGTCAACCATCAGTTCACACATTATAGCCAAAATAAACTTTGTTCGTGTGTATCAACATATTTTACACAAACCTAGTGCCTGCATCTAGCTGGGTGTTGTTTAAGGTGAGTGTGACGGGATAGAGAGGGGGAAATAAAGCACGGTCCTCAAATAAGACTTCAGGAAATTAGCTAGAGGGAATACAAGAAAGGGGGAGGGGCGGGGACTAACACTGAGCGCCTACTGTGTGTCAAGCACCTATGAGACGCTATACCTTCATTATTTCATTTGCTCTTGTTTTTTCTTGCCCCATATTTCCTGCGCGCCTCCCTCTTCTTGGGACAGAGTGTAGATTTTTTCCCCTTCCGATTTGTTTCTTTCATCCACACACCCCCCACCTTCCTATCCCCAGGCCAAAGACGGGGCAAAAAATATATAGATAGACATGTATCAATTTACAGACGCTTTTGGTATTGTTTCTCGTCCTGAAGATGAAAATGGAATTAAGTGCGTGTGAGTAAAGCGGGGAGTGGGGAGACACCATCAATGGAGTACAAGTAACATGCAAACCAGAATTTACTGTCAGCAGTCTGGACAGTTCTGCCGTAATAATTTCTCAGAGAAATCATTGTCTGTGGCATCATTTTTTTTTTTGTATTGATATCATTTTTTTTTCTCTCCTCGTTTTTATTCTGTCTTCCCTCTTGCTCTTCCATGCGTGGTGGTTTTAACTCAAAGCATCTGATTCAACGTAAAAGGAGGCCCGCCTCTCTTATCAAATTTCTCATAGTAAAGTGAACTTCGCAGAAAAAGGTCAGTTTCAAAACCTGTGAACTTCCCAGCTGCGCACGTTTTTCATGTTAATTCTTTAAATAAGTATACTTCTTCCTTCTGTTTTGCCTTCTGAACCCATGTTTTAAAAAAACCATACACTTTAAGTTGATAACTTCCCCCCGCCCCCATTATCTGGAGTTTCGTCCAGGTTATTTTTCCATATTTTAAAATGTATAAAATACTTTGTTTTAGTTTTATTTTTGTTCCTCGATTCTCTTTCCGATTTCAGCTTCTGCCAAATAGCAATAAGAAATTAGTTCCCTTTCTCTTTTTTCCTCTGGCTTGTCTTTTCTGCTTTTTTTTCTCACTTTTTATCAACAGAATTTTAATTTCTAAGCAAGAGTTCACCGTTGCAGCTTTGCCACGAGTCACACTCCGCTGTGCCAGCACTCTCTGTCCAGGCTCCCTCCAGACTCCCCAAACCCGCCCCCAGGAGGCGGAATCTAGGTGGTCCAGCAGGTAAGTGGTCGGAGGCCAGAGGGCCCCTAAGGATCCATCGGTCCACGGGGTCCTGCCCTCCGGTCCAGGTACAGCAGGGACGTGGATGGTCAGCGGATGGAGGAGGACCGGCTCCAGGTCAGGGTAGCGGAGAAGCAAGGCTCGGAGGGCGCAGAGGGTGCGGGCTGCACGCATCGCGTCACAGGCCCAGGGCAGCCGCGTGCTTTTTGGCTTTCAGTCTGAGATCCGCGATGCTGGAGTTCTTGCTGGTGGTCTTGGCGGCGGCAGCAGCCGCCACGACGGAGGCAGCGGAGGCCGAGTCCGCTGCCAGCGTGGCTAGCGGCAGTCCGAAGGGCGGCGCAGGGAACATCATGTAGGGCGCGTGCGCGGCCAGGTGCGGGTGCAGGTGGTGGTGCGCGTGCGCCACGGCGCTGTCCAGCTGCAGCTGCGCCTGAACCTGAAAGGACAAGGGCGTCACGTTGCAATGACTATCCTAGGGTGACAACAGAATAGAAACAGAGCATTAACGGCGTCCAGCTTGGCTCGGGGGGGAGGCTAGGGTAGGGGACAGGAAGGGGTGTTTGACTCATCCATACAGTCTGTTATTGAATGTGGGGTACCACAGGGAGACTCCAGATCCCACTGAGTCTGCAACTTGGTCAGGGAGATAACCTTCCTGGAAACTGGGGACTCCCAGCTGCAGGAATGTGGCCGTCCCCTCGGGATGTGGGCCCTTCAGAGGATGACATTGCTATTGTGCTAAAACATCACCATCCTCAAAATAATAATGATATATTGGGATGACTGGAGGGTGAGAGCCATTCTATCCTCCTGGATGCTGTCAAACACCTCTTACCCCACTATTAAAGCACTGAAGTAAGGACAAGTAAACTAAAAAACGGTTTCATGCCACTTGGGGAAGTCACTACATCTTCATTGCAATAGGCACAATTGTTAGTATTTCTAACCTTCACTGTTATAAAAATTATCCAGGGAAAATGCAGATTCTGATTCAGGCTTAGATTGGCCTGATGATCTGCATTTCTAACAATCTCCCACGTGGTGGTGATGCTGCAAGTTCACTTCAGAGTATTAAGGGAGATCCTTTCAAGATTCTCCCTCTCTCCAGTCATTCTCTCTTGCTTCAAAAGCCTAGCACCAAGATGCTAGGGTCCTGTGGTGCCAAGAGAGCTAAGATTTCCTGATACTAACCCTCAGTACATAGGCACACCCAAGTTTCTCCCCAATCCAAGGCTCTGGTGACTGAGAGCTAATTCATTACTTCACAGTCCTGCCAAGCAGGGGTTCTGGTCAAAGAAAGGGAAGGTTAGACATTGGTTGTCTAACTCCCCTCAGCCTGGAGAGCGGGGAGTTCAGAACACTGGGATTTCCCGGGATTAAATCATTGCTGCAGGCTGTCCTTTTAAAATGTAGCCTTAAAGATTTCTTTATGGCTAAGAAAGGGATTGCGGAGGCAGGGTGTCCCTGGAAAGACCAAGGCGTCCTCTACTAGAGAGAGAGCTTTGTTTACACAGACAGTTTTAAAAAGACCAAGTCTGAGTTGGAAGTACTTTTATACATTTATTTTTCTTCTGTCAGAGACATTTAGTGTGACTAAGAGGTAGAAAATACCTAGAAAAATATTTAGAGAGTTGCCTTAGAACTAACCTCTGTAATAGCTCTGACAAAATCTTAATCAAAAGGCTTTTCCTTCCTTTTCCCAAGTGCAATCTTTAGTGCATTTTTTAAAGGACCAGTCGCTCTCCACAGGCCTCTACAGGTTTCCCATGAGGACAGAAAGGCACAGGTATTCAGGCTCTTGACGATGTATATTGTAAAAGGGAGAGTGGGTTCACTATATCATCTCAAAATTGATTCTCTAACTATATGAACACCAAAATTGGGGTTCAGAGAGAGAAGATGTTCAACAGTTCAAGCAAACAGCCCAGTGATTTTAGTTAAGAATAAGTTGAAACTGGATATACTTGCCTGCTGAAAAGGCATCCTTAAAGCACCTACGTTGACATAGGGTGCAACTCTACAAGCTTCAAACTGGCTGGCAGCCCCTATGAGGACACCTGTAAAAAAGTGGGGGAACACACACAATAATGTAATGATAATATTTCAAGCATTGTTTTCCAGGTACCAGGGTCTCTTAGGCAAAACTAATTCTTTTGGAATTGAACTACTAGCTTCCAAAACTGCCACTAAAACCATGGAAATCTACCTCCAAAGTTTAAGACTGCTTTCAGAAAAGAATTTACGTCAAGGACCACAGTTATCTCGAGAAATTTTTTTCTGTGTTTGTAACAATAATATTCCCCAATTCTCTTTTTACACAGAATATCATTTTGTTTGTCTGAGCAGCATACCTTTATGGAGTTGATTTTCTTGTTTTCTGCATTTAGCTCTTCGGTTTTGAAACCAAACCTACACATTGGAGAGAAAAATGAAATGTAAATGTTGTAACTCAAACTTTTTTTTTTTAATTTATAAGAGTATGACAAAGAGTAGTGTTTTAGGCAAAGAGTGGGAGAAATAGCAAACATCTTTGAATTATACAGAACAGTCTCAGTTTCCAAAATTAAAAATGTAAATGAATAACAAAAGTAGCAAGATAGATTTCAGAGACTTTTGGAAGATAAATTGTTTCTTGATAAATTACTATTAGTCCTGGTTTCATCTTTCCACATTAAAGTCCCCAAGGCCTAAAACTCTCCCTGATATCTGATACCAAAAGTGATAATGGATTTAGATGTTTGCTCAGTAAGACCTGAGAAGAATGTGCTCATTAATAGCCTGTAATATTAATTAGCTTCATCTTCAAGAAAAACCAAACACCAAAGCAAATAGTGACTCTATTCTGGGGAGGGGGTAAAAAAATGGGGAGAGAGGTAATTAGTGTCATAAAAGCCTCACTACAAAGAAGTTTAGAATTTCTCTGTTCCTCTGTGCAGCAGAGTGTAACACAGTGGCAGAATAATTGTGCCATTATCATGATAATCTAATTTGCTTCTATAGAAAAAGCCCACTGCTTGCAGTTAAGCCAGTAGAGAAGCATCTAAAAAATAGCTCTAGAATTTAAACAAACATGTAAAAAACTAAATGCCAACAATAAGTTTATTTTTAGTGAGGAAAAACAGAAGAGCATTCTGTGAAAGGGGGGTTAGGGTATGAATCAAGTAACTCCTGGACACTATCTTCTTCCAGATATTACCTCATCAAATAAACTTGCCAACTTTAGAGGGAGTATGACAGATTTTTTCAAATTCAAATTAATCTTGCTTTTGTACTCCAATAACACAGCATTATGTTACAATAAGGCATATTGGCGGATTCACAAATTAATATTTTTTAAAACCATGGAAGTCTAATATTGCTTCAGAGCCTTTTCTTGTTTTTGAAAGCAAGCGTCAAGTCAATGTAAATCCTCAAAAATTCCCCTGCCATTTAGGGTAATAGAAGGGTAGATTTCATGCCAGGGTGGCATCCTTTGTGTAACTCACATGGCCTGAGGCTTCCAGTCTCTTTTTTCCTCTAGAAAAGTGGAGACTGAGATACTAATGCTCATAACTGTAATAATTATCATCATGTCTTTAAGGGTTTACTGAACCTCTAGAGATCTCAGTACACAGAGCAAAGCAGGAGAGGCTTAAAAAGGAAGGTTCTGCTGTTGAGCTGTGATGACCAAGGCAGCCTATTATTACTTTCCCCCCTTCAATGTGACTGCTCTGTTTTAGTCCTGATCCTATTACAAGATGCGGGGAAAGCCCCATAAGAATTGCATAGTTCGCTGCAGATGGTGGTCTCTGCGTCCAGAGACCCAGGGAGTATCTGTTACAGTGATACTCTGTAACAGCTGCATATGGTCAGGCCTAAAACTACTCCATGTGTTCAAGCAAATAATGACCATCATTTTCTCCTATTTTATTATTGGAGTGGAAATACAATCTGAAACATTTAAATTGTTCTTCATAGAACTACAGAGAAATGTGTGCATGTACACATATGATTTTTCACCTTAAATGCCCCCAAACCTCCTTTTGCCACTACATTTACCCCCACAACCAGTACAGAAAATCTGTTTCAATCCTAACTTCATTAGGTGTGGCACTTGCTAAGGGGCCAGACTTTGACAATGCTAGTATTGAGATACATGGATTGTTTTTTAAAATCAAGGTTTGGTAGGTTCAGCTTCACTGCCTTGGTTTAGTGAGGGAACAAAGAGTGACCAAAATGCATTTATATCTATGTTCTTTTGCACACTGTCTGAGACCCATTGCTAACAGCAGACTGTAAATTTCTGCACTTAACAGTTGCTAATTTTCTTTATAGTCTGTACATCTATAAACCTAATTGGCATATCCGCTTGGCAAACGTAGACCGGAGCGCAGACCCCTCAAGGAAACCCAACTCAGGCTAACGAAATATTCGTTGTAACTTTTAAGGCATCCAGAAGATAAAACGTTTTCTGTGGGATTTTTTTTTAAAGGCTTATAAAAGTAGGCCCATTAGGATTAAACCACATTAAAGGCATCGTGAGGGGAGGGGGGTGTGGTTTATAGAGACTCTGGGAGCAAGCCCAGCACAGCTTTCTTCTGCTGGGAACATATGTTGGAATGGGGTGGTGGTGGTGGGGGGGGGGTGGACTATAAGGCAAAGATCTACTTTGAAAAAATAAGACCTCTAGTGAAGACATCCCTTCCCTTCTCACCCTCCTGTAAATACAAGAACCGCACCCTCAGTGTGTGTCCCCCAAGACGTTCTCCAAGCCCAATGAAGCTCCTCCACCAGCTTCCAATGAACAAGTCTGGACTTCCTCACAGCCAGTACCTGCACTCGGGCCTCCGAGAGCCCCAGCCTTTGGCTCAGCTCCTCCCGCATGAAGGCGTCCGGGTAGTGTGTCTCATCGAAAAGCCTCTCCAGCTCATTGAGTTGTTCCAAGGTGAAATTAGTCCGACTTCGCCTCTGCTTGATTTTGGTCTGGCCTTCGTCCTCCATCCCTTTCACATCCTCTTTTCGCTCCTTCAGCTCCGGGGACACTGGAAGAGGCACCAGAAACAGGGCCACATGTACGTCCACGCGCGCACACAGCAAAACACACACACACACGCACAGACACACAAGGATGAAAACAGCAGCAAATCTGTTACCAGATTTGTCTCAAGAAGGTTGAGGATCCTCCCCCCTCGGGAGTAGCTGTTCAGTCGCTCACCCCACCCGGAAAAGAGAACCTGGATAAACTCTGGGTGGCCGCCTGGGCGGGGTGGGGGGCAGGAGGTGTGTGTGGGGGGGGGCAGGTGGGTATACACCCATCCACCTTCCCAAACCGCGGCCTCAACTCGCCTCCTCACTACCCAGCCCACCGTTCTCCTGCCCTCCTCACAAACGCCAAACCCATTCAACTCACCCTCTTTCGCACCCACTCGCTCCAAACAAGCACAGAAATTAAAAGCGCCGCGCCCGGGCCGTCACCGCTCACGGTCCGGGCAAAGGGGCGCGGCAAGGCCACGGGCTGTGCGCACACGCGGCCATTCCCAGACTGCTGGGTCCTTCTCAGGCCAATTGTAGCCTCCGCTGACTCTCGCTCTCTCTCAAACTTGCTGGTCTAAATTGGGAACAATTGGGCCGAAGGGTTTCCACCGGAGAACCAGATCCGGGTTCCGCGGGCGCTGGGAGGCGCATTTCTCCGCTGGGTGCTAGTCCAGGGTTCGGGCCAAACCCCGTGGACCGCCCGCGGACCGCCAGGCAGGCCCAGTCCACGGTGCTGGACCCGGGGCGCCTAAGCAGAGGTGTCCACGCCATGTTGGCGACCTGGAGGGCTCGCCGCCCACGCCGGGCCAGAAGGCGAGGGACGGAAAAGCAGTCTCGGGTGGCGGGTGAGACAGACTCCTGCCTCTTCCCGTCTCCCTCCCCATCGGAAAGGCAGACTCGACCCTAAACGCTTAAACCCACAGAGATCAACAGGTTCAAGCGGAACATTCACGATTCTCGGTTTCTATTGGTTGCTCAAAGCCTTTTCATGCATCCTGCATCTCGGATGTTTAATAAAATATGCATTTTCGGCTCTGGGTTTGCACACATCCGTTGCTACTTTCTTATCCTTTCCTGTCCTTCCTTCTCCTTTTAAAAACAGGAACTCTGCGAGTGTAAGAAAACAGAGACACCCGAGGGATGGATACATATCAAATCTAGGCCAAGGGGCAGTAATCTGCGAGACAGTATCGACACCACCCGCTCCTGCCCTCTGGAACCTTCGTCCTTGGCGCCAGGGTGGGAGACGTGGATTTTTAAGGTGTCAAAGCTGACTTTGGATAGTTGAGGCTGTTTTGCAGGGCTTCCCAGCCCAGGGGCTCAGTCAGCAAGAGTATTAAAAACCATTTCTGGAAGAGTCAGACTGCAGAGAAATTAATACTTGCCCTTAGCTTGGAAATCAACAAACCCAGCGCTGGCCTGCGGGGTTCAGATCCCGAACTCAGCCATTCTGTGCGCGGATGCACTGCGGTCTGGAACCAGGGACTCGCAGCCCGGAGGCTGCACCCGGCTGCCTGACAGCTGTGCCATCACTTCCCAAATTTAGGACGACCCACCGTCAGGTCTCAGGAAGAAGGACCCGGGTCTGAGTCCGGTATTTCCAGCTCTCCGAGTTCGTTTTGTGGACATTAGTCCTTCCTCTGGGAAGGAACTGGACAACACTGTAGCAAACCTTCGAAGCCAAATTGTTAGGAAACATATTTCCAGTGATATTGTAGTGAAATTTAACTATGAAAACACACCCTTCCAATTCTGCCAAAGGGGTGAGAAGGCTTTGTCTATTTCGTGTCATCCACAGTGGATGCCTCTCAAACTTTTGGGGCTTCAAAGAGAAAGATGTCCACATTTCCAGTTGATTAATAGACTTAATATAATTTCCATTTTGCCCCCCAATTTCCATTATTGGCCTAAACAGGAACAGACCGTGTTATAAACAACTTAATTGCTTGCTTAAATATGTGATTCTACGCATGTCACATATTTTCTTAATTGGAAAAATATGGCAGCACACCAGTTACTGCAGGCACCAAGTGCCAAATTAATTTTATTGTTGAACTCCCTTGCATCGGTGCTGGAGATAAAGCCCTTTGCTAACACTTCGCTGGCACCAAACAATCCCCCCAGTGCACCCCCTCCACAAACCAGAGTGCTGGACGGTGCTGCGAAGCAGTGAAGGAACTGAGCAAATATCGAAAAGCAAATCCAGGGGCCTCAGCCTGCCTGTGGTCTGGTGTTCTACCTTCTCAGCTCAAAGAGCAAGTTTTGGCCTCTAAGAGCCGGGAATCCAGGGTCTCCGGGTAGTTGGAGGGATTCCCAGCGCCAGCCCGAAACCTGGGGCCAGCGGCGGGTGGAATTTCTCTCTCTCTCTCTCTCTCTCTCTCTCTCTCTCTCTCTCTCTGTGCCCACCCCCCCTCCTCGCCTCTCCTCTCTCCCTTTCTCGCTCCCCCTCTGGCCTAGGACAGCGGCCCCCCAAACTCGGCGCTCGCCGCTCCCCGTCCTCCCGCAAGCCTGCCGGGCGGCTGCCGGGTCCCGGCCGGCACCCGCGCCCCGCGAACTTCCCCTCGGCCCGCGGGGCACCCCGCCGGGGGGACGGCGGTTCGGTGGAGTGGGAACCGCCGGAACACCTCAGAAGCGGGGTGCGCACGCCACACACGCCCCCTCCCCACTTACCGTCGGGCCCCACCCTCGACCGCGCGCACCGGGGGGCTCCCATCCCTCCGCGGCGCTCCAGCGCCAGGGCTGGGGTCCCCGGGCCCCCTCCTCGCCCCGTCCCTCCCGCCCGGTCTCGGGGTCCCCTCCCGCGCCGCGGCGCGCGGGGAGGGGGAAGGGGCCCGCGGCCGGGGCAGGCGTTACCCTCGCTGAGCCGCGGGCTGCCCGGCTCCCGGCTCCTCTCCGCGGCGCCCATGTCCAGCTCGCGGGCGGGCGAGCGCCCTCCTCCAGCGCCCGCGCCCGCTGCTCCTCCTCCTGCGCCTCCGCCTCCCGCGCCGCCGCCTCCGCCTCCCGCGCCGCCGCCTCCGCCGGCCGCCCGGACTGCCGGGCTGCTGCGCTCGTCGCGGCCGGGCTCGGCGCCCCCGGGCGGCTCCTTGGCCCCGCGCAGCGGGCCGCTCTCCAGCACCTCCCGGTACGTGATCGCCTCCTTCTTCTCCTTCACTTTCTGGTCGAAGGACTTGGAGACGAACGCCGTAAGTTCTTCCATCGCCGCCGCCGCCTGCAGCCCCGCGCGCAGCCGCTCCCAGCCGAGCCCGGCGCTTTTTTTCCTTCTCCTTTTTTTACTGCTCCAGCCCCCCCAATAATAACACATCAATGGGGCAGGGGGTGGGGAGGGAGAGGGAGGAGGAGGAGGAGGAGGAAGAAGAGGGGAGAGAAGAGAGAGGAGGAGAAGTAAAGGGAGAAAAAGAAGTAAGAGGAGGAGGAGGGAGGGGAGGAGGGAGAGGAGGAGGGAGGGGAGGAGGGAGAGCGGGAGGGAGGGGAGGAGGGAGAGCCGGAGCAGGAGGAGGAGGAGGAAGATGAGGAGGAGGAGGAGGGAGGGGAGAAGGGGAGGAGGAGGGAGGGGAGGAGGGAGAGCAGGAGGAGGAGGGAGGGGAGGAGGGAGAGCGGGAGGGCGGGGGCCGCTGGAGGGAAATGCGAAGTGATGCTTCCCTGCCGGAGCGCGCTTGTTCCGTGTTAAGATCTTTGACAATTCTTCCTGCGGAGAGTTCAGATCTGATAGCAGCGCGGCGCTTGAAGTCTCACTATTTATACTTCGCCAAGGCGGCCCCTTGTTCTGAGTAAATTACCTCCCCTCGCAAGTCGGAGCCCCTTCCCGGGGAGCGCCCGCGCCGCTAACCTGGGGGTGGGGGGAGAGGAGGGAGCGCGCGAGAGAGCGAGAGAGAGGGAGAGAGAGGGGGAGAGGACAGAGGCACCGAGGGGGAGAGGAGAGAGGCACCGAGGTTGCACAGGCAGGCGCCGAGGTTGCACCGGGAGGCGCCGAGGTTGCACCGGGAGGCACCCAGGTTGCACCGGGAGGCTGGCATCAGCGCCCGGGGGGCCGGGCCGGGCCGGGCTCGCGTGGAGGGCAGCTCAGGGGACCGGCCGGGAGGGAAGAGGAGGCAAATCCCAGACGGTCCTGCTTTCCAGATCGCCGCGGCCGCCTGCGCTCTTGGCCATTCATTCAAGCTTGACAAGTATCCCTAATTAATTTAATTAGGCGTGAATTTTGCGTTGGTGTCACGACTTAGTTAAACGCTGGGGAGCTGGACCTACTCCGCCGGGGCGTGGCCAAGAGGAAACTGACAAGTGCGCGGCGCTGGGGTCTGTGGAGTCTTAGGACTCGGAATCCGACCCCACAGCCTCGCCGGCGTCGGGTGCGGCGCGGCCGCGGGGCTCCGGGTGGCTGCTCGGGTTTCCTGTCTTGCACCCCTCGCTGCGCACCCCAGTTACGCACCTGATCGGGCAGCTAACCCTGTAGCCTCACAGCCCCAGTCCCGCGCTGCAGAGATGCGTCCTGGCTTCAAATCCCTGCCCGGAGGCAGGGTCTTCCGCGGCCTCTCCAGACTGCGGTTCCTTTAGGGGCTCTTGAGCCATCAGCCCAATCCAAGCCTGGGTCTGCACCACCCGGTGCACCCTGAGAAGTTGTGATTCACCCACCACTTAAGTGCTTGAACCCAAGTTTCTTGCTTTACGGACAAATCCCGGTTCAAGGGGCCAGTCCATTTAACACATTTCCCGAGCAGCTGTTCTCTGACAGATTCTATTTAAAAGTGTTTCCTTAGCTCCAGGTCAAAGACAGTTATGATTTTAGTTCTCTCTTTGGGGTCTCGGGACCGTCACCTCTTCTCCCTTGCAACTCTGGTGCCGGACCACTCCCACAATAAATTACAGGAATTTTTCTTTAGCATCCTGGGAAAGCGTTCTAATTGATTTCCTAGCTTTGAAGAGTACCAGTCTTTGAGTTATAAAACAAACCGACGTTAAGTTTGTGCCCCATCTAATTTTATCGGGGACTATTCAAAAACAGATACTCGCGGGGTGTAAGGTCTCACTCCCTCTTTCTTCTCTCATGTAATTTTCAGAGAAACAGTTTATTTGAAAGGATCATCTATATTCCTGAGTCATTTGTGTTACGCAGACCAAAGCTTGCTGTGAGAAGAGTGGCCAGAATATTTGTATACAAAAAGTTATGTTTATTTGACCGCATAAACTATTCTTACTCAAGTGTGGCTTTGGGGGCTTTTTCAAGTAGTCTGAATATTAATGCAGACTTTCTGATGTTAAAGGTGACTTGTTTGTTATATTAGATCTAATACTTTTGGTCAAAATAAAAGCAGTTACATAACTTTAATACTTATATCTTCCACCCATTCGTGAAGGCATCAGCACAAAGTTAACATATCCTTTGAGAATTTCCCTCCAAACAACCTGAAGGATTTGTGAAAAACGAACACAATTATAACTTGATGTGTTTATAAAATATAACTACATATAACTATGTAATACAATACAATACTACTGTCATTGAAAATGTTCATGTTCAACTGAAGGAAGATATAAATATTTTAGAAATGTTATTTGCCTTCTCTTGAATTCTGAATTTATCTTTTGTTCTTTTAAAAATATTCCATTTATTGCTACTTTTAAGAGATATAGTTAAGATCTTTAAGTTTCCACTAAGAATAGCTTATAGGTATTAATGAATTCTATGAGTGTCTGCTTTTACTTTATTATTCTATAAGAGACACAAGTGCTCACATTTTCCAAAGTTATATAAATTTGGAAACAGGATTTAGCACTTTCTTTTGGGTTGCTATTTGTAACCACTTTATTTTGATATGCTCAGAGGTTCATAACCATACAACTGTAATCCTTTATGCAATTCCATTTTTAAGATTATTTGTACAATGCCCAGTAATGAGGTTAATGAATGTTGTGCTCAAAGAACTCTCAAACTGAAGTGTTACATGCATAATACCCCATATAACTGGTATTGGATGTCTATTAAAGGATCAGGAGAGTTACAAACTGATTTTTTTCTTCTTCAAGTATATGACTTTTAAATTGAAACTCAAATTCCCTCTACTGAGCTTGAGGGAAAGACGATCACTTTAAAGGTAGTCCGGGAAGGCTGGGATACAATCTTGTATAATTCACACCACACAGATTTTCTCATGATTTTGGTGCATTGGTTCTTTGTATATTTAGGAATAGTGGTGTTGATATCATATGGAACTATGAGAAATTTGATGTCAGACCATTGATTCCCACTGGCCTGAGTTGAGTTTTTTAAAAATCCAAGATTTAAAAAAATCTAGTAAAAAGCTCAAGAAGTTCTAATGTTCATTCAATAGCAAATATTTTTCAGATGCAGGGTTGGTAAAAGTACACTGAGAGTAAAGCTAAGCTGACAACCTGCAGACAAATATTCTGGCTGCAATAAAAGTCAGGACCCTAAGGATCTCTCTCCACCGCCAGCTATTGAATTATTTAAAATAATCATGCAGTGTGGTCGTTAAGTTTTACAATGGTTCTCAAAACTGGTTCGTTAAGGTACAGTCATTTGTGAGAAATACATATATGGAGGTTTTCGCTCTCTCAAACATCTGCGGACAACTGTAGCTTGGGCATCCAGAGGTTGTGAACGAGTTGGTTCTCAAAGTCGACCTACAGCAGTTTATTTACCTCTTTATTGTTGCTCACTTATATAGCAAATAAGAAAAAAAAAAGACGTTCGCGCAACGGACAAGTGATCAGAAAATGCTAATAAGCTTTAATTTCTATTGATTACAATAACAAAATACCCCCATACATTCAATTGTTTCAAAAGAAACCGCTCCCGCCTCGGGCAACCTTCTCCCTCTTTCCTCTACCAACCAGTTACTTTAATGTGCAAAACTAATTTGCACCCAACCTGTGAGTGCTTTCACCTTCAGGGCAGAAGAAACACCGACTTTTAATGCATTTTTGCAAATAAATCATTACAATTTAATCACACACCGCCCTATACCGACACACTGCAGTGATTTATTATTGTTGGGCGATTTTCGTCCTCCCCTAGTGTGAGATAACCAATTTTGCTACATGTGGGAGTCCTAAGACATAACTTCCCACGACGCAGATTTGTTTCCTGATTACCTGCGACGATAACGATTACTAAGGCTACAATACCCCTCAGCCCCCATCTTAATTGCTTTTTAGTAATAAGGAAGTGAAATAAACAAGCACGAAAATCAACACCAAACAAAAAATTGGCGGCGTGACGATCCACTCCCTCGGCACTCCCGTGCCTGGCAGCCTCTATCGACGCATTCGAAGCTCGGCTGGAGCTGCCTGGCGCTGGGAACCAGGAAGGCGGCGAGCTTGAACTGAAGCGAGTTCGGAGGACGCCGGCAGCGCCTAGGTTTGTGGACACTCTTTCAGATCTGCGGTGTTTGCAAGTCACGGGAAGGTGTGGGCCCGAAAGCCGGACCCAGCTACGGCCTCCGGCCATAGTCGGGAGACGGTGCCAGCGGCTGCGGGCCTCCGAGGCCTGCTGGGCTGAGGCTGCGCGAGGCCGTGGTGGCGGCGGCGGGGATGGGGGTGGGGCGGGGCGACGCCGAGCGCATGCGCACGCACCTGGCGGTCCTGATCCCAGAGGCGGTGGATAGGTCCTGGGCCAGAGCTGTGGGCGATAGTGGGGTGGTGGGAGAGGGAGAGGATCTTGGCCTCACGCTAGGCCCTGTGCCCGGTGGAGGCGAGGGAGAGTTAGCCAGCGCTCCCCTCCTTCCTTCAGTATCCCGCCTTTAATCCCACCTCCAACCCTGGTTCTAGATCGCTGATGTGGGATTTCTTGGTTCATTTTATAATCCGCAGCCTGTGCTGGGGGTCTGGCTCTCTTTTGGGTGGAATCCAAAGGGAGACTGCCACTTGGGGAATCCTAACCCACCACCGGTGCTGTCTCTGCTTCAGATCCACCCCCCCTTCCAGTTCCATTTGACCCTTACCTACCTAGGGGCGAGGTGGTGCCAGGTGAAATAGACTTTCCTCTTTAAATACTCGCCTTAAACAGTTTCTTAGACATCAGGGCTATGACCATGTGGTAGTGGACCAAGAGCATTAGGCTGCTGTTAAACTCTGTTTACTTTGATGGGATACTCTTCGTCACTTTTAAACATGTTGCTGGCCCCGGATTTTAGATCAACTTTACCTGAACTCTCTCTCGAGGTTACATATTTTTAAATGCTCACTAAAAGCCTGAAAAATAATTTTTTTTTAAATGTTCAGATTTAGCATTAACCTATTTGTGTTTCAGCTAACTAGATGCTAAGAATTTAAGTATATTGTCACAACAGAATATCCAAGTTATCTTTGAATTTAGATATTAAAACTTTAAGAGTTAAGCAGAGTTCTCGAGTTTAAGGATTGGAGTAAATATGATTAAGTGTAACCTTGAGAACTCCTCTAGCCTTAGAGTTTATAAATATTCACTTTGCTTGCAGGCAAAGGCGATTACCTCCTAAGTGGTGACATGTTATTGTATGTTCTTCAGTAAGAGGACTAAAAATGTTTGAAATTGAAAAAGATAAAGGCAGCTGGCACCTATTAATTGGCATTACCAATTCAGCAGCCTTCAACAATTTTGCTATCAATTGGAAAGGTTCTGTAACGATTATCATAGAAGATGTATATTTTCTCTTTTCATTTTCAAACCATTGGGGAGAAGTTGCTATGATTGACAATGTTTTCTCAAAAAGATACTAATCTACAAATTTTCAGTTGTGGTAGTGTTCAATATCGGGGCTGCCCTATAACAGCAGGAGGTGTGTTTTGACAATTCGTTATCTCTTGAGTTTTGCTTTGTTATGCTTGCTATGCAAGACTTTTTTTTTTTTTTTAAAGATTTATTTATTTATACAAGCACTGGGTACAGTCAGAAACGCGGGAGGGTGAGAGAATTCACCAGAGCCAGAACGGGGAACAGAACAGGCAGACGGACGAAATACACTGCTGAGGGGTCTGTCGCGCCATGTGGGGTCCTCACTCGTGGCCTGGGATCGAACTGGCGCTGCAGCTGCAGAGGCTGCGGGCAGCTTCACCACCCGGCGCTCAACCACTGTGCCACCAGTGAAGACCCCTATGCAACACTTTTACCTTACTTCTTACACTGCCTTTGCATCGTTCTGTGCTTTATATTTGTTTGTAGATTTCTTCCTATGCTCAATGTTGTTAATGCCATTTTTATTTTTCTCTAACTTTTTGAGGTGGATTTCCCATTGGAAACGACTGGTAATCTTTTTCTTTTCCTTTTTGACCATGTGTACAAGGTAAAAACGATTATACTTGGATAGACTAATGAGTGAAATTGCCTATTTCCTGAAAAGATAACTGCTTCTTGTACCTTTATAACTGGACTAATGAATTACTTGTGTATGCCTTTCTTTGAGCCCTCTTTTGAATGACTACTTCTTGTCTCCACATCTTTAATCAGTCACCAAACTTTACACTAAGATGTTTTTGTAAATCAGTGGCCAACTGTCGTCATTGTTTGTCATCACTTCAGTTCTGTAGCAAGAGTAGTTGAGTGAGGTTTACAACCAATAGAAAACCAGTAACTGTGAGGGTTTTGTACCTATATTGCCTTTTCTGCTTACAGATAGAGGGAAAGATTGTTAGCTTGTGGCACTTCCAAAAATATGTGCTCATATCTTGTATCAGAAAGAGCTGTTATTGTGTCTTTCCATGCCCTGCACTTTACCCAGTAGAGTTAAATATAGAGGTCTTCCTTGTTAGGACTGTGTAATATAAATTGACCATCATTGAAAGGGAACTGCTAAGAAAAGGAAATCTTTCCCTGTTAAAGAGTCATAGACCTGGAAATGTAAAGTAAATAACAAGTTTGCTTCCTTAATAAGCATATCTAAACAAGGTCTGGCAGCCTGCTAGGCTGTTTGATCTCCCAGGCCATCCTCTAAGATCTGTATCCTCCCCCTTTTCCTGTGTCAAGAAGTTGTATGATAACTAACCAACTTTATCAATGTAAAGTGGTTGTGTATAAAAGAGACTCTTTGTCTCTAGACCGGGGCTCAGACCTTACTGGCCTACCCAGGTCTGAGACCTCATGCATGAGTATAAAGCTTCTCCTGGCCTCACCATTTCTGAAGTACCTCTTGTTCTTCCCCTGCCTGGGTAAAAGACTAAAATTAATTTCTGCAACATCATGACTGGAATGGGCAAGTATATTCGATTATATGCTACTGACATAATGGAAATCTGGAGGTAAGTGTATATGTAAGCTGGTGAGAAGGAATTTAGTACTTGTCATTGATAGAACAGTTTTAGATGTACCTCTGAATTGCTTAGTGTTCACTACCTTCTCTGAAGAAATATTTGAAGTAGACGCTAATAGAGAAATATCGTGGCCTTTTGCTTCCTCTTGTTGAGATCAGTCTTAAGTGTACGTTTTCTGAAATGTAAACATGTTACTTGAAAAAAAATTATGACTTTTTCAACCCTTTTCTACTCGATTCCTCTAAGGGGGGATTTTGTATCTTCCATAACTTTTCTGGGTTAAATGTAATCATTCTTTTGTATAAATTATGTTGCTTAAAATAAAAACAACAATTTATATCTACCTTCTATTCTCTCTTTTTTGGTGACCAACAAGATACATAATTAGATGTATGTGTCCTTTTCCTTTTTTTTCTTTATGCCTAATACTGGGCCCTAGTAAGCTGGACAAGCATGGAGAATGGAAATGACTTAGAGCAACAGTTCTTAAACTTTAGTTGTATACTCTTTAGCTTTACACTCCTTTTGTACTCTTAAAAATTTTTGAGTACCCCAAGAACTTTTATCTATATGGGTAGTATCTATAAATACTTCCTTATTGGCAATTAAAACAAACATTTGAAGTACTTATTAATCTATTTAAAAATAATAAACCCATTCCATGCTAGTATACATAACACATGTGATGTGAAAAATAGCTATATGTTCCAAAACAACACAAACTTAGTGATAAAAGTGACATTTTCCATTTTTCCAAATCTCTTATGGCTGGCTTGGTGGAAGACAGTTGAATTCTTGCATCTGCTTCTGCATTTAGTCTATTTTGATGGGTTGTCTTGAAATATCTGAAGAAAATATGGATGCACACAGATATGTTGTTGAAATGTAGTATTTTAATATCCTTTTCTGATAATCACTCCTTTGATACTACACCAAAACTTGACAAGTACTAGTTTCTTAAGGATTGGTTGTAATGTATGTCAAACCATATCCACAGTATTTCTATGCTTTATTACACAATCTTGCATCGTGAATGGACTTTTTTTTTTTAAGAGGCATGTATTTTTATTTATTTATTTATGATTTTTATTTATTTGTTTGTTTTGTTTGTACATGCACTGGGTACAGTCAGAAGCGCAGGAGGGTGAGAGTATTCACCAGAGCCAGAGCGGGGAACAGAACAGGCAGAAGGACCGAAGTACACTGCTGAGGGGAGCAGCGGGCGGCAGGAAAGGTCTGCGCGCCATGTGGGACCCTCCTCCGGTGGCCGGGGATCGAACCGGCGCTGCAGAGGCTGCGGGCAGCTTCGCAACCCAGCGTTCAACCTCTGCGCCACCGGGGAGGCCCGTGAATGTACTTTTTAACTCATGCATGATTCTGTGTCATTAGAGAACTGGGAAATACTGGTTTACTGAGTTATCTTCCAAATGTTGACACCCTTCTTTATATAATATTAAAAGAATCACATTTGTTAGTATCACTAATCTCATCAGCAAACTCTTAAGTACTGGGAACCTTGTAGGTCTCATAGAGGTGATGCTAATAATTTAAAATTCTGATTTTTGCCTGAGGGTTCACATTTTATCATTGACAACAAAATGTCAGTTTTCCTCAAAATTTTCAATTCCTTAAAATGAAAGACTCCATTTTTGAGAAAATGTCTGTTAGATAGATACCCAAGTCTGAATAATCATTCAGTTATTCAAAATAAAAAGTGTTTCATGATAAAAGCAATTAGCACAATTTACAATTAGTTGCACAAATACTTCTTTTCAAGATAACTATCATTTTTCTGTAAGTAGCACTTTTGTTTATTTCCCACTTCATCATTTAAAATGCTAAAAACAATGTATATTCAAGTGTTGACAGTAAATAAAATTAGTGACTTCTACTGCTATTTTTGCTTTTCTTTTACTGTGACTGTGTGGCAATCAAGAATGCAGTGACGGCTAGTACTGTTTGGTGTCATCGCCTAGATTCCTGTTAAGGTACCAGTAGTTGTGCCTACCATTGCTTTTACATCATCAGCGCAAAAGTCAACACAGTGAAAAAGGTAAATAATGTTTTGGTATTATAGTACAGATAGATTTGACCTCTTAGATCCTTTCAAAGGGTCTGAGGGACTCCCATGTATCTATAGACCCCTTTTTTTTTTTAAAGATTTATTTATTTATGCATATGAGAGCTGGGTACACACCAGAGATGCTGGGGGTGAGAGGATTCACCAGAAACAGAGTGGGGAACAGAACAGGCAGACTAACTGGAATACACTGCTGAGGGTAGCAGCGGGCGAGACAGGAGAGGTCTGCTGCGTCATATGGGTTTCTCCTTGGCCAGCCGGGGATCGAACTCATGCTGCAGAGGCTGCAGATTGCTTCATAGTGCGGTGCTTAACCCCTTGCACCAACAGGGGGGCCCTATAGACCCCATTTTGAGAACTCCTGTTACACTAGAATAAAAGCTCATTTGTCTCCTTCACTGATGTGTCCCTTTTACCTAGGCCTGCTATTATCCTGAGACTTTTTACTTAACTCTAAAGTTAGATCTGGGCCTCCCTGGTGGCGCAAGGGGTTAAGCACAGCACTATGAAGCAGTCCGCAGCCTCTGCAGCATGAGTTCGTTCCCCAGCTGGCCTGGGAGCAACCCACATGGTGCAGCAGACCTCTCCTGACTCGCCCACTGCTCCCCTCAGCAGTGTACTTTGGTCAATCTGCCTGTTCTGTTCCCCACTCTGTCTCTAATGAATCTTCTTACCCCCCACACCTCTGGCCTGTACCCCAGCTCTTGTGTGCATAAATAAATAAATCTTTAAAAAAAAAAAGTTAGATCCATTATTTCCTGAATCTGATTTGTCTTTGTTGTTTTCCTCTCTCTTTTTGGTGGAGCACATCTTCAAGTAGCTTCCTAAAAAAAGGTGATTGTGAGGTTTAATTTTGAAATCTTGAATGTCTTTATTCTGGTCTCAGATCAGTGATTGGGCTGGAGTGGATTCTGGGTTGAAAATCATTTTCAGGGGGGCCTTACTGGTGGTGTAGGGGTTTAGTCTCAATGCTGTCACTGCTACAGCCTGAGTTTAGTCACCAGCCAGGGAGCTAAACCACATATGGTGCAGCAGACCTCTCCTGTCTTGCCCACTGCTTCCCTTAGTGTATTTCACTAGATCTGCCTGTTCTGCACCCCACTCTATCTCTGGTGAATCCTCTCCCCCAGTGCCCCTGCACCTCTGGTATAACCCTGGTTCTTATATGCATAAATAAGTCTTTAAAAAAAAAAAAAGAAAGAAAATCATTTTCACTTAAAATTTGGAATCAACTCTTCATTGTCTTTTGTTGCTGTTGAGAAGCCTTATGCCTTATATTGTGATTTCTCCCATTTTTTTCTCTTTCAAAGTTACTAGGATCTTCTATATTTGTTGTGTCTGAATTTTTTATGAGATATGCCTGGTGCCTGTCTTTTTAAAAATCACTGTCTCATGGGCTTAGGTCAATTCGTATCTTTCAATTCCGGAAATTGTTTTGAATTATTCTTTGGCTTTTTTTTTAAGCTTTCGTCTCATTTTAGGGGATACATATGGCTTGGATGTTGGACTTATGTGTTGATCCTCTTTTACCACCTATTTTTTAATCTTTCTACTTTCTGGAGTTTTTTGTCTTACCTTCTAATGGTATTGTATTTTATAAAGTTATCATTTGTTTACGTTTCAAGCTTTCAGCCTGTTCTTAGACTCTTCCTCCTATGCTTTGCTGCATCATTAGCTATGATTTTTTTTCCTTAAACTTTTTTTCTACATATTCCTTGTTTACTATGAGTTGCTTTTTTTAAATTATGTTTTGGTTTTTGCCTCTTACAATGAAGGCTTTCGTTACTTGATTGATTATCTTATGTTGGATAGTCCCTAAAAGGTTAGCAGAAAAAAGTTTACAGGGAAAAGAAAATGTACTGTATTTAAAGTTTGTGCTTGGTTATATAGAGTGATTGGGTGTAGACCTGGCCTTTCTTTGGGGGGACGGCAGGGGTAATGCTTCAAATACTCAACCTGTTGTCAGATACTCTTCAGTTGCTGAGGAGAATCCTCTGCCAGAATTCTTGGATCCAAACATATAGAGCTACAGTATTTATTTATCATTAGATTGTATTTTAAACTAATTTTCTGTTTAGATCTCTCTGCCCCCTTTTACTGTGCCCCTAAACCTGGTGCTCCATTGTTTTCTTTTTCTTCTAAAATAAACCTCTTCTCCTACCTCTTCTCTTCTTCAAAGCTGAGTAGTCAGCTTGTCAGGATTGGCTCAGGAGGGGATCCGGGAAACTACTTCTTTTGCAGGCTTTCAACCAACTCTTGTTACTTAGTTCCATGCCTAATTGTGCCTGCTATGGTATCTGGTGTTGCAAATTCTTGATCCTTTTTGATTTTTGCTATGTGAATTAGCCTTTTTCTTGTTGGAATTCTCTGCAGTTGTTGGGTGACATAGCCTTGATTCAGCTTTCTTAGTTCTGAGTCCTCCATCTGTTTTTCATTTACTTAAAATTTGTTAACATATCTTGTCTACTGTTCCTGTTGTTTTCTTTTCTAGTCTCTTTATCCTTGTGAGTTTATACTATTTTATCCTTTTACTCTCATTTTAGTATTTTTAAAAATCAGATAATAAGAACATAATAAAAACTTAATTTAAATGGGTATCTGTGGGCAAAGAAAATTCTCTGTTGCTTAATTGCTTAAAATTGCTTAAAGGTGAAAAAAAGAAAGCAAGAAAAAAGCCAGGAAATAAGAAAACTTAGATGATTATTATATTCAATTGTGTAGAAATTCCTTAATGGAAATATATATACACACAGGTATGTAGATAGGTATATAATGGATTTGTATTATATACTTATATGTATATAATGGGTATGTACCATATATAAAGTGAACATTAGATACACTTATATTGAAATATATATGTATGTGCATGTATAATTTCGTAATCATACTATTTTAAAGATGGAAAGGGTTATAGTGATCTTTTAGCCAGGGCAGTTTCATTTCTCAATGAGAAAACTAAATTAGATATGTTAGTTATTTATTAACTGAAGTTATTTACTTCAAATTTCAAAACCAAACCTTCCCAGTATTTGTTGCTATAAAATGTTAGACACATGAACAACTTAAAGCTTAAAAACTATATTTAAAGCCTTTAATCCTAGATCTATATAAACAGCTTAATGTTAGAATTGAGTATTATTAGTGATTTTTAACTGGTATTGTTTTGGAGTCAAGGAGGGTCTGGCTTATCTGGCAATTTTGAAAATAAAGCTGTAATTTAACACATCGTTTTGTTTCTATTAATGATAATTAAGTTATTTTGCGTAAATATTAGAGGAAAGCAAGATTTTTGTTTTTCTGATCCCATTTATCTTAATCATTAGACAGGATCTTGCTTTTATATGATATTGGAAGTAATAACTATTTTAGTAAACAAAATAAGATTGCATATTATATTGAGGCCAAGGCAAGTAAACTTTTTGTCATCTAAGTTAAATCCTAAATATGAAAACCTTAAGTTCTATTTGTTTTTTCTTTTTTTGTATACTAAATATACAAGCATTACCATAACCAGATAGGAAATAGCTTAAAAAAAAAAAAAACTACTCAGTGTTGTTACTTAAATATTATCAGTTGTTTTCATTTTTTGTTTACTCATGCATATATTTTTTTTTTTTTTCAAATATTAAATTTTATTTTTATATTCCCCCATACAATTGCAAACGCCCCATTCTGACCCCAATCCTTCACCTCCCGCCCCCCACCCCCCAAAAAGTGTCTCTGGTTCATAGTTTTTTGTTGATTTTGATTTTCACTTTCTTATATTCATTTTCCTGGTCCCTTATTTAAGTTTTCTAGATTCCTGCTATGAGTGAGACCATCCGGTATTTTTCTTTTTCTTTTTGGCTTATTTCGCTGAGCATGATCCCTTCCAGTGCCATCCATGTTGCTGCAAATTGCATGTGTTTATCTTTTTTGAATGCTGAGTAATATTCCATGGTATATATGTACCACATCTTCTTGATCCAGTCATCTATTTTTGGGCATTTGGGCTGTTTCCAAAGCTTAGCTATTGTAAACAGTGCTGCTATAAACATAGGAGTGCAGGTGCTCTTTGGAATTGATGTTTCTGTGTCCTTTGGGTAAATACCTAGGAGTGGAATTGCTGGATCATATGGAAGCTCTATGTTTAGTAGGTCCAGAAATCTCCACACAGCTCTCCATAGTGGTTGGACCAGTTTGCACTCCCACCAACAGTGCACAAGAGTTCCTTTTTCTCCACATCCTCGCCAACATTTGTTGTTGCTAGTTTTTTTAATATGTGCCATTCTCACTGGTGTGAGATGGTATCTCATGGTAGTTTTGATTTGCATTTCCCTGATGACAAGTGATGTTGAACATTTTTTCATATGTCTGTTGGCCATTTGCATTTCCTCTTCAGAGAAGTTTCTTTTTAGCTCTTCTGCCCATTTTTTGACTGGATTATTTTCTTTGTTGTTGCTGAGTCTCATCAGCTCTTTGCAGATTTTTGTGATCAGTCCTTTATCATTAGTGTTGGGTGCAAAAATGTTCTCCCAGTTGGTGGGGTTTCTCTTTGTTTTTGTTATTGTCTCTTTTGCTGTGCAGAAGCTCTTTAATTTGATGTAGTCCCAGCTGTTTATCTTTCTCTTCACTATCACTGCTTTGGGTGATGTGTCTGTAAAGATGTCTTTGATGTGCAAATCCCGTAGTGTTTCGCCTATATTTCCTTCTATGTATTTTATGGTTTCAGGTCTTATGTCTAGTTCTTTAATCCATTTTGAGTTGATTTTTGTGTATGGTGTGAGGTAGTGGTCAAGCTTCATTCTTTTGCATGTAGCGACCCAGTTTTCCCAGCACCATCTATTGAACAAACTTTCTTTGCTCCAATGCATAGTCTTTGCTCCTTTGTCAAAGATTAGTTGACCATAAATCTGTGGGTTTATTTCTGGATTTTCTATTCGATTCCATTGGTCTGTATGTCTGTTCTTGTTCCAATACCATGCAGTTTTGATGATTATGGCTTTGTAGTATAGTTTGAAGTCTGGGAGTGTGATGCCTCCATTTCCTTCTTTTTTTTTCAGTAGAGCTTTTGCTATTCGGGGTTTTTGGTGATTCCATATGAATTTCATCAATAATTGTTCTATTTCTTTGAAGAATGCCATTGAGATTTTGATTGGAATAGCATTGAATCTGTATATTGCTTTTGGTAGGATGGCCATTTTAATAATGTTTATTCTTCCAATCCATGAGCAGGGGATGTCTTTCCATTTCTTTGTGTCTTCTTCTATTTCTTTTAACAGTGTTTTATAGTTTTCTTTGTATAGGTCCTTTACCTCTTTTGTTAGATTTATTCCCAAATATTTGATTTTTTTTGTTTCGATAATAAAAGGGGTGGTTTTTTTGATTTCTTCTTCTTCAGATTTATTGTTTGTGTATAGGAAGGCTACTGACTTTTGCGTGTTGATTTTGTATCCTGCCACTTTACTGAATTGATTGATGAGTTGAATTAGTTTTTCTGTGGAGATTTTGGGGTTCTCTATGTATATTATCATATCATCTGCAAATAGTGATAGTTTGACTTCTTCTTTTCCTATTTGGATTCCTTGGATGTCTTTCTCTTGTCTTATTGCTCTGGCTAGGACTTCCAGTATTATATTGAAAAGCAGTGGTGAGAGTGGACATCCTTGTCTTGTTCCAGATCTTAATGGAATTGCTTTCAGCTTTTCACCATTGAGAATGATACTGGCTGTTGGCTTGTCATAGATGGCCTTTATGATGTTGAGGTATGTTCCTTGTATCCCAAGAATTTCAAGGGCTTTTATCATGAATGGGTGTTGCACTTTGTCGAAAGCTTTCTCAGCATCTATTGATATTATCATATGGTTTTTATATTTCTTTTTGTTGATGTGTTGGATAACGTTGATTGATTTTCGGATGTTAAACCATCCTTGTGCCCCTGGAATGAATCCAACTTGGTCGTGGTGAATTATCTTATGGATACATTGTTGGATTCTGATAGCTAAAATTTTATTGAGGATTTTTGCATCAGTGTTCATTAGGGAGATTGGCCTATAGTTTTCCTTTTTTGTGTTGTCCTTATTCGGTTTTGGTATTAGTGTAATATTGGCTTCATAGAACGTGTTTGGTATTGTCCCTTCCTTCTCAATTTTTTGGAAGAGTTTGTGAAGGATAGGCACTAATTCGTCTCTGAATGTTTGGTAGAATTCATTTGTAAATCCATCAGGTCCTGGGCTTTTGTTTTTTGGAGGTTTTAATTACCATTTCAATTTCGCTGCTTGTAATTGGTCTGTTTAGGTGTTCTATTTCTTCTTTATCTAGCTTTGGGTGATTGTAGAGTTGTAGCAATTTGTCCATCTCCTCTAGATTGTTGAACTTGTTTCTATATAACTGTTCATAGTAGTTACTGATTATTCTTTTGATTTCTGCTGTGTCCGTTGTGATTTCTCCTCTTTCATTTATGATTCTGTGTATTTGTGCTTTCTCCCTTTCCTTTGTGAGCCTGGCTAGGGTTTGTCTATTTTATTATTTTTTTCAAAGAACCAGCTCTTGGTTTCATTGATCTTTGGATTGTTTTTTTAGTTTCAATTTCATTTATTTCTGCTTTGGTTTTATTATTTCTTTCTTCTACTGGTTCTGGGTTTTTTTTGTTGTTCTTTTTCTAGATCTTTGAGCTTCGAGATTAGGTTGTTTCTTTGAGTTCTTTCTTGTTTTTGATGTGAGCTTCTATTGCTATATATTTCCTCTTATTACTGCTTTTGCTGCATCCCATACATTTAGGATATTGGTGTCCTCCTTGTCATTCAATTCAAAGAATTTTTTAATTTCTTCTTTGATCTCCTCGTTAGTCCAGTGGTCTTCCAGTAGTGTGGCTTTTAATCTCCATGAGGTAGGATAGTTCCTTGCCTTCTTTTTATGATTTATTTCTAGTTTGATGCCTTCGTGGTCAGAAAAGATGGTTGGTATGATTTCAATCTTGGTGTATCTGTTGATGTTTGTCTTGTGCCCCAGTATGTGATCGATCCTGGAGAATGATCCGTGTGCGCTTGAGAAAAAATGTGTACTCCGTTTTTTTTGGGTTTAGTGTTCTATAGATGTCTGTTAAGCCCAAATGCTCTAGGTCCTTATTTAGAGCTTTAGTTTCTTTACTTATTTTTTGTCTTGTTGATCTATCCATTGTTGATAGTGGTGTGTTGAAGTCTCCCACTACATATGTGTTTTCTCTGATGTCTGTTTTCAGAGAGGACAACAGTTGTCTGATATATTTTGGTGCTCTTTCGTTTGGTGAGTATATGTTAATGAGTGTTATTTCTTCTTGAAGTATTGTCCCCTTAATCATAATGTAGTGACCATTGGGGTCTCTTTTTATTTTTTTGAGTTTGAAGTCTGTTTTATCTGATATAAGTATAGCTGTTCCTGCTTTCTTTTTTGGCCCATTTGCTTGTAGGATTGTTTTCCATCCTTGACTTTGAGCCTATTTTTATCTTTGTAGCTAAATGTGTTTCCTGGAGACAGCAAAAGGTTGGGTTTTGTTTCTTAATCCAGGCTGCAACTCTGTGTCTTTTTATTGAAGAGTTTAGTCCATTTACATTTAGAGTTAATATTGATATGTTAGCATCTGTATTTGCCATTATGTTTGTCTTTCCTTTGATTTTATTTATTTATTCTTTTAATAACTTTTTTTTTTTTTTGCTCTTCTTTCGTTGTTATTCGTCCCTTTGAGGTTCTGGCTTTAGGATTCCTTGTAGTATTTTTTGGAGTGGGGGTTTAGTCGCAATGAAATTCCGGAGTTTCTCTTTGTCTGGGAAGGTCCATATTCTTTCTTCATGGAGGAAAGAGAGCTTTGCGGGATAGAGTATTCTTGGTTGGCATCTGTTTTCTTGGAGTCTGTTGACTATGTCCCTCCACTCTCTCCTTGCCCGTAGTGTTTCTTCAGAGAAGTCTGATGTCAGCCTGATTGGTTTTCCTTTGAATGTTATCTGTTTCTTCCCTCTTGTCAGCTTCATTATTTTTTCCTTGTCCTGGATTCTTGGGAGCTTTACTATTATGTGTCTTGCTGTGTTTTTCCTTTCGTCGTGGAAGTTTGGTGTTCTTCTTGCTTCTTGTATATCAATTTTCAGATATTTTATTAAATTATGGTTGTTGTAGAAGTAATTTTAATAATCATATAAGTGAATATATCTGTCTAAGAAAAAATTTTCTGGTTATGTATCTAGAAGTGGGATTGCTTGGTCAAAAAAAATCAACATTTTTTATTACTCTATTAGATTGTTTTCTAAAAAGATTATATTGCTATGTTATACTATATAATACTATACAATTACTACTTTATATATGAAAGATTGTATTACTACTATATATATAGTAGCTGTGTGAAGATTTGACTGACTTTACAATAACCCCCTCAATTTTAGTACTTTAATTAACCTTTCTTCCCCCAAATTACAGAAGTGAAATTATGATAATGTATTGTTTTAAACTATCCTTTGTTGATGCCTAATGAGGTCATACCATTTAAAATTTTAGAATTTTCAGTTAGAAAAATTTAATTATACAAGATAGTAAGATGTCTTATCTTTAGGGAATATGAAAATGAAGGATTAATCTTTAAACCACTAAAAATAGAAGAAAATTGTCATAATGAACTGTCCTTAGGATTGATTTCTTTGAGAAACATTTGAAAAATTGTAGGACAAATTTAAATTGTTCATTAACTGTACAAACAGTTCATTGATATTCTAGAAGACCGCACTAGAGTTGTTTCTCATGTCTTGTCTATAAAGAAGCCAGGTACATTTAAAAATTTACTTTAAATAAGACTTCTGAAGTTTTTACAAAGTTTTATAAAAACTGTTAGACTAAATTTCATCCATTTGCCATTATGTCAGAAATGTTTTTTTGTTTTTTTAAATTTAAACTTGTAGAAATGGGACGCCGGTCATCTGATACTGAAGAAGAAAGCAGAAGCAAGAGAAAAAAGAAACATCGAAGACGGTCGTCTTCAAGTAGTTCTTCAGATAGTAGAACATACAACCGAAAGAAAAGTGGAAGGAAATCGAGGTCAAAGTCAAGATCGTGGTCCAGAGATCTTCAGCCTCGCTCACATTCTTATGAAAGAAGGTGATTTTAGAGTTCACATGTTTTGTGCTTTAAAACATTTTTCTCTGAGTAGTTACATATTTATGATGATTAAGTCTCATTCAAAGGGTTGTTTTTTGTTTAGCCTGGCCAACCCATGAATCTAGTGCCTTATTCTTTGCCTATTCTTTGTAGACAAATATAAACCGGTATGGTTCTTATATTACCTGTAATATTTGGAAGGATTGTATGCAACTTTATACAACTTAGCTGATCTAGTCACCAAATTATGAATCATATATCTTGACTGTTCAAGAGGAATAACATTTAACTTTGTTTCTATTTGATAGTAGTGAGACCTAATAAAAATGAGATGATTCTTTTAGAATTGAGATGATTTGTCATTTTTACCCATAACAGAAATTTTTTTGGCCATAATATTTGGACATATTTTATTTCAGACGCAGGCATCGATCAAGCAGTAGCTCTTCTTATGGATCTAGAAGAAAACGAAGTCGAAGTCGTTCAAGGGGTCGAGGGAAATCCTATAGAGTTCAGAGGTCTAGGTCAAAAAGCAGAACAAGAAGGTATGCCATGTTAGATATTTATTACTTTGTAATAGACTATTCCCAAATTTATTGATGTAAAGCAGCAATCATTTATTTTCTCACAATTCTACAATTTTGACTGAACTCAGATGGCAGTTTTGCTGGTTTCACTTTGGGTCATTCATGTGGCTGTAACTATTTGTTAGATTGATTGGAACTAGTCCAGTGTGGTCTCACTCATATATATGGCATTTGGTGCTGGCTCTTAGCAGTTGTCTAGGATGTCTTTCTTCCCCTCTGATTTATCCTCCAGCAGTCCAAGCAGGGCTTTTCCCACATGATGGAGGAAGTATTTCAAGAGGGTAAGAGCAGAAGCTGCAAAATCTCTTAAGGTTGAACCCGAGAAATAGCCAGAATGTTATGGAATGAGTGTTTGTGTCCCTCCAAAATATGTATGTTGAAGCCCTAATGCCCAAAGTAACTATGTTTGGAGATAGGGTGATAGGGTCTTTACGGAGATAATTAAGGTTAAGTGAGGTTATAAGGTGGGAACCTTAATCCATTAGAACTGGTGGCCTTAGAAGAACAGTGTGAGAAACCGCTCTCTCTTTTTTTAAGATTTATTTAATTTATTTATGCATACAAGAGCTGGAGTGTAGACCAGAGGTGCAGAAGGTGAATGGGGAGCAGAATAGGCGGATTGACTGAAATACACTGCTGAGGGGAGCAGCGGGTGAGACAGGAGAGGTCTGCTGCTCTTTTTGGGTTAGTTCCCTGGCCAGGGATTGAACCCAGGCTGCAGTGGCTGCCGATAGCTTCACAGTGCTGATACTTAATCCCTTGCGCCACCAGGGAGGCCCCTCTCTCTCTATTTGAACATGCTTGATCTTGAATTTTCTAGTGTCCAGTACTGTAAGAAAATAAAAACCTGTTTTATATAGAACAGTGTGAGAGAGCACTCTCTCTCTCTTTGAGCATGCTTGATCTTGAACTTTCTAGTGTCCAGAACTGTAAGAAAATAAGTACCTGTTTTATAAACTATTTTGTGATAGCAGCATGAGCTGACTAATACACAGTGACACTCCACCAGCATTTTCTTTCTGTGCTCCGGGTCCAGTGGAGGTTAGCTTAAGTGGAGAAAGTTGTGTGTGTTGGGTGATGGTAGACAATACTGATGAATAGGATGGGGACCATGGTATTGAGGGACCTGATATAGTGGGCATTTAGAAGTTATTGAAGGGTTTTGAGCAGAAGAGTGTTAGGATTAAAAGCAGCTCTTCAGAAATATCACTTCCTTTTTTATGTTTAGTGCTTTGTATTTATGATTAGACTGTAGTTGTAGGGACATATTAGGCTGATTTTGTTATCTAGGCATAAAATTTTGTAATTCTACTTAGGAGTATGAAGTTGGAGAATTAGGTTTAGTTTTTTTAGTCTTGTATTATTTGGACTTTGTCCCCTCTCCTTTATACATACTCCAGGTGTAAGCCACTCTGTATTACGTGTCTGTTCATCGTAGATGTCTTTGAATTGCTAGCTTTGTTTCTTTGAACATGCTCTTTCTTTCAGTTTATTGTGTCATCTCTACTCAGTGCAGTCTTCCTACCCTTAATGCTCAGTTCCATTTAACCTTTAGTTCTCTTCTTCCTTAATTGCTTTTTAGTTTTATCTTTTCGGATTTAATACATCCTTTCTCTGACCCACGTTCACATATAGTTCCTAATTTGCAAAAGTTGCACTGTGACTAGTATGTTTTGTTATTTTCATGTATTATAAACTCTTACAGAGGAATTCTCCTGATACCTAGCATAATGCCTTGCTTAGTAAACATGCCTTGATTGAGTGAATGATTAATTGAGAAAATGAAGTTAGGTAGAGAGCTGATTTTTGTAGTAAGGAAAAGTTTTATTGATTTGTAGAAGGAAAGCTTTATTTTAGATGTATTGATTTGTCTAAAAAGAGGCTGATTACCAGAAAACAACTTCATTTGAAATTTCCTATCAGTGGGAACAGAAATAATAATCTATGCTTTTGTGTGGTCTTCTTTTCACTGTGGAAGAGTGTTTTCCCTGCATTGTATCACTCTATCAGAGATTGATTAGGAAAACAGAAGCCACTCAATTCCATGTATCAGGGTTTTAACACAGGCAATTAAAGGCTTAGATAACCTCTGGAAGGGCTCTGGGGATTAAGGAAGCTGTCACTAATTATTTTAGCCTGCAGCATGGAAACTGGTTGTTTTCTCAGAAGTCACTGGAAATCTTTAAGAAACTCCCTTTCTTTGTAGCACTGTAGTGGGTGGTTCTCAAGAAACTATTCCCTGGGAAGCTGCTTCTCTGCCCAGGTAGATCTACCTACAACTGCCTCCAGAGAGGAATCTGGAAATGTCCTTAATTTCTTTTCATTTGCAATGCAAGGAAGACCTTAAAAGAAGGGGCAGTGATGTCTACTCAGCAACAGACAATCCAGCACATAATTCATTTTGTAATGTGAGTTTGTAGTTCTGTCAGGCTGTCATGTAGGGTAATTACCTCTATTTTGTGTATAAGGAAACAAGTTCAGAGGCTTATTGGAAACAACTTCACAACCTATTGCTTCAGTACTTCCACATTTAACCGAAATAACTGATAACCTGGAGATGCTGATTTTAAGAGATTATATCATTCTAGTCTGGTATATTAGGTTATTTTGGAAAATACTTTTTAGGAATTTACACTTCAAAATGTTTAAACTCATTGAGTTTCTAAGTTAATCTTGGTTTAACAAGAAAATTGAACAATCCATTCCTTGAATAGTTTAATCAAGTCTTTAAATAGAGGAGAAGGTGGTGTGATTTTGATGAGTTGTATGAGTTTTATATATATGTGTGTATATATATATATATATTTGGATTTTTTTTAAAGATTTATTTTTATTTATTTATACAAGCACTGGGTACAGTCAGAAGCGCAGAAGGGTGAGAGAATTCACCAGAGCCAGAGCAGGGAGCAGAGCAGGCAGAAGGACCGAAGTACACTGCTGAGGGGAACAGTGGGCGGCAGGAGAGGTCTGCGCATCATGTGGGACCCTCCTCCGGTGGCTGGGGAGCAGCTGGGGATTGGCTGCAGAGGCTGCAGGCAGCTTCGCAACCCAGTGCTCAACCTCTGCGCCACCGGGGAGGCCCTATATTTGGATATTAATCCCTTGTTAGATATGTGATTTGCAAATATTTTTTCCCATTCCACAGATTGGCTTTTCATTTTGTTGATGGTTTCCTTTGTTGTACAGAAGCTTTTTATTTATTTTCATTTATATTTTTTTGTTTGTAAATATTTATGTAGGTACAGTAACCCTAAATTTTAGAGACACCTGGATGTCATTAGTTTGGATAGCATTAGTTTATTATAAAAAATACATGGGATTTTTTACCTGATGAAAGATTTCAAAACTTCAGTGGAATGGGCAGCTTCATATGGTGCCACTTCAGTCATGATTTCAGTCCTCATACTATTCAAGAATATCACCATCTCTAAATAAGAAATAATCCTTGTTGTCTAGAACTACTTTGGCACTTCCAATATCTGGGAGAAGAACTTTATCTCCAGCTTTTACAATGACTAGTTCAATATCTTCTTCTTCCCCAGCCCCCCCTCCCTTCTTAGACCCTGATCTTTTAGCCATTGCTGTTGCTTGTAATAATTTTCCTTGACATAGTTCTGGAAGCATAATGCTTCCTTTAGTTGCAGTTTCAGCTACTCTATTCAACTAATATGCTATCAAAGACAGGAAGAAACTTTCTCAATGCCTGTTCTGCTGTGACTCTGGCAGCTTCAGTTTGTACTATGTTCTTGCTCTGCCACCGAAAGGAGAGACCCCCAAGTCTAGCCCTCAGAACATGTGAATCTTCAGGTTTTTAATTTGATATAGTCTCACTTGTTGATTTTTGCATTTGTTGCCTTTACTTTTGGTATTCATCCAAAAAGTCATTGCCAAGACTGATGTCAAGATTTTCTTATATTTCCTTCCAGGAGTTTTATGGTTTTAGGTCTTATATTCAAGTCTTAATTCTATTTTGAGTTGACTTTTTGTGTATGGTATACAATAGGGGTCTAGTTTCAATTATTTGCTTATGACTGTCCAATTTTCTCATCACCACTTATTGAAGAGTCCCTCCTTTTTCCATTGTATGTCCTTGACTCCTTTGTTGTAAATTGCTTGACCATCTGTCATATCTGGGTTTATTTCTAGGCTCTCTATTTTGTTCCATTGACCTGAGTGTGTTTTCTTGCCAGTACCATACTGTTTTGATGAATGTAGCTTTGTTATATAGTTTGAAACCAGGAAGTGTGAGACCTCCAGCTTTGTTCTTTTTCAAGATTGCTTTGGCTACTTGAGGTCTTTTGAGGTTCCATATAAATTTTAGGAATTTTAAAATTTCTGCAAAAAAATGTCATGGGAATTTTGATAGAGATTGCTTTGAATTTGTTGAAAGCTTTGAATAATTGATATTAGGTGTTATCTTCTTGGTGAATTGATCCTTTCATAAGTATAAATTATCCTTCTTTGCTTCTTGTGACATTTAATTGCTTTATTTTTGCATAGAAGAACTGTGGGTAGGCCAGAGGTGCAGGGGGTGAGAGGATTCACCAGAGACAGAGTGGGGGACAGAACAGGTGTATTTATTGAAATACACTGCTAAGGGGGGCAGCAGGTAAGACAGGAGAGGTCTGCTGTGCCACTTAGCTCCCTGGTGGGAGATCAAACTCAGGCCTTAGTGGTGATAGTGCTGAGCATTAACCCCTAGGCCACTAGGGAGGCCCTCTTGTGACAATTGTTGCAATTTTTGTCTTAAAGTCTATTTTTTTTGATGTAAATATTTCCAGCCTAGCTCTTTTGGGAGCCATTTGTATGGAATATCTTTTCCATCCTTACACTTCCAGTCTTATTTGTATGTTTATATCTAAGGTGAGTCTCTTGTAGATAATATATAATTGCATCTTGTTTTTTAATCCATTTAGTTGGTGTCTTTTGACTAAAGAGTTTAAGGCTTTACATTGCAA